AGGACGTGAGGTCCAAGCGAAAGACCTCAGGTCTTGCCTACTGTTATTTTCGCGGCTCCGACAAGGTGTAGCACATCCGTTTCTTTTGGAAGTGGCCATGAAAAAAGATCTGAAACCAGAAGATCTCCTCAAAATCAAGCGTGGACTCCAGGAAGTTGATAGCGGACTACCTGTTTTTGAGCGGATCGGAAAGTGGTGCGCCAAAAAAGCGACGGCTGTCAAAGATGAAAAGGACCAGGAACATAAAATGAGCGGCTTTGGGAACAGTCAATTCGGTTACAAGTTTAACATGGACCGACAGCTAGATCTCGCACTGGCCTCACAAAAAGAAGATGTGTGTCGGGTTTGTTACCAGGAGCCCATCAACCCGCAAACTGCAACAGTAAGCCCCCAATTTCAGTGCCAAGGAGGGCCTTCACTAAAATGAAGTTATAGTGCAAGCACGTCTTTTGCAGAGATTGCCTCGAGGACCATTTGAGAGATGAGTTTAAGGGTGGCCGCATGATACCTATGTGTCCCGATTGTGACAAATCTTTGACTCTATATGACCCAGCCGAACAGTCGGATACAGAATACTCTGACACCCAAGGGTCTGCAAGCGGAACAGCATCCCGAATAGCCTTACTCCGCATACCGAAATTAGGCCGCGATAGTTTCAAGAAGCATCCGAAATTGAATAAATCACAATCGAAGTTCCTTCGACAATGTGACCAAGTCTACCCTGAACCTGTTGTTCCGAGTGCAAAGACAACGGCTGTTAAAGAGGCTATCCTCGAGTGGCAGTCTGAGGCCCCTGGTGACAAGATCATTCTGTTCGTGGAGTTCAAAATGACTTGTGCGATCCTTGGGCGCATGCTAGAAGCTGAGGGTATACCTTTCCTCTACTTATTAGGGAATATGTCGCCAGCGAAGAAAGAAAATACTATTCAAGGATTCAAAGAGAAAAGTGAAATTAAGGTCATGGTAAGTTTCTGTCAAGTTTGATGAGCACAGATAGCTGACTGTCATAAGATCGTCTCCATAAGATGTGGTTCGGTGGCACTCAACTTGACGGTAGCGAACCGCGTTATTATCGTGGATCTATGGTGGAACCTGGCCATTGAAATGCAGGCATTTGCACGAGTCTTCCGCATCGGCCAGGGAAAGGAAACCCATTTTCTACGTATTGTTGCCGATAACACTATCGACAACCGAATGGAAGCTCTTCAAGAAGAGAAGAAAGAGAACATCAGCAGGATCTTGGAGCCGGGCGAAAAGCGAAAACTCTCTGCTGAAGAGATTTTGTCCCTCTTCGGTAATGTTAGGAAGTCTGTGGATGGAAGTCTCGAGGTGCTGCCAGATGACGAGGACGACACTGAGCTAGACGACGGCTCTGAGGAGCCTGAAGAGGCTGATGAGGCTGAGGGTACTTAGCCTTCAGTTTCCCCGACTACGTTAGTCGCAGTACAGCTGTCGCCGTCGCCTGTAACCACGGCATATCCATACACTCTACCTGCGCCGGTTCGTTACTCTTCGTCTCACCTGATGACAGAGGCTGGGAAGCTTCCACGGGCGGCAATCACCCCAGTTCTCTTGCTGTGTTTTACATATGACCCCAAAGGTTTCTCTCGGTCGCTCAAAAGACTCTCAGAGAATACTACTACCGTGATCTAGGAGAAGATAAGAAAAAGCAAAAAAAAGGGGAAAAGGAAGAAAACCTTGGGGCTTTGACCACAACCGCTTCGTTAGAATAATCGAGTCTTCCTGATTCATTATCGCCAATATTACCGACGCATTCTAAAATCACGTTGTACCATCACCGGTCAAATAAGACCTCATTTCGTCTCATGGATCAAGCATAACAATGGTCTAATATCATAGCCCTAGATAGCTTAATTAACTGCGAAGATTTCACTGACGGGTCCGCCCAATACGTTTTTTGTGACAGTGTGATGTTTAGACCTATATTTCTTCGACATGGCATTTTTAGCTCATTGAGGATCTTGCTATTATGAACTCGACCCTCAATCAGAAGATTTGAAAGATGAACCTGTTTCGTATCGAGGGCTAACACAAGCATTAGCAAGGGAAGAACGACAGTTATCGCATTGTACACTGTGTGTCGCTCATGTATCCGCATCACAGACGAGACTAGAAGATACTCTTGAGCCGCTCTTATCTTGAAAACCAGATTCTATATAGACATCATACCGACAAGCCAGAGAACTCGATATCCCTCTCATGCCGCCACCACCCACGATCATACCTCCACAGATCAAGACCAGTAGCCAGACCCCCACAGCCCGTAAAGTCGCTCTCAAGCTCCGCCAAGCACCTGTCTATAACTTCCCGATCATCGACTTTATTCATCAGGGTATAATGGCCCCTAAACTTCCTGCTATCCTGCAGCGTCAAGTGTTCACACCACCGCGTCTGCAACTCCGCACACAACTTCTCCACGGGCGCGAGCCCGGACACGTGGACACCTACACCGCGCCCCATGCGGAAGGGTTTCGCGGCGCGGATGTCGAAGGGCGAGATTTTGGCGCATAGAGATGATAGGTCTGAGGTTATGACGGATTTGAGAGACTCTGGGAGCGCGTGGAAGAGCGTTACGTGGGCGTCGACTTTGAGGAGATGGGGTGGGAAGTATCGCGTGCGTAGCCCTGACATGCGCTTCTGATGCACGGGGTCAGTTTTGAGTGTCAGGACGTAGACATCTTCTTCTTCTTCTGGGTTTAATGAGACTAATGCTCGGTCTTGACGTCTCATGGACGATGGCTTCTGTGAATTGGAAGTCATATGTGGCTTAATTGGGTGGGAAATAAGTGATTGTCGTGTAGGATTTGTTATGGCGATTCTAAAATTGTGTAGAAATAGTACTCGGGACATTAGTATATGCTGTCCTCTATTGTTTTCATCGATTTCTGCATTCAAACACAGAGGATCGGAATCGGTATAGAAAAGAGAGCAACCGACACATGCTAGCGCTAATAGGATTCGAACCTATCCTCATTTATCTGTCCGCTTAATAGGGCCACAGCTGGTATAAGTGTTGTAGTAGCGTCGATGACAATTCAATAGAACTATGATGGTGACGTCATTCTGTATTGAGTTGTTGAGAATCAGAATGACGGATTGAGTCTTAAATAGAATACAACGAAAGAGTAAATCATGATTGACGTGTTTAATAAAAATTTACACTATGAAAGTGAACAGAACGGGTGTAAGTTGAAACTATCCTCATGCGCCAGCTCTTCACATTGTAATCGTATGCGGGGTTAAGATCTTAGCATTCATCGAGCTCAGTCACGAGCTGTACTTTTCACGACTCAAGAGGGTAATACGATATTGACCAGAACACTTTGAATCTGTATGCTAATGTAAATCGTAGTCTATATGTTGGATGAAAATTGGGGAACGAATCTACAGGTTGTCCGCAATAGCTGAGATGAAACTGCGGAGCCCAGGCAAGTGACAATCCAGACCTGACCCCGCCCGGGTCGCTTAAGGAATACTTAGCTATAGGTAAACAGCTCTCCAACATCTACCGTGACTATTTTGAATTGTAAATGTTCGAGAACATCGCGACCAAGGTAAAAAGTTCTCTAACTAAGTATAGCATCATGGCGGCCAAAACCGACTCGAAGGAGGTGGTTGAGCTCCTGAAAATGCTCATGAACATCGAGAGCACTAGTGAAAAAGAACTCGAGATCGGACAATACCTGGAAGAGTACATACAAGGCCGCGGGTTTACCGCGGAACGAATCGCCATCGAACCGGGCTCGACACGGCACAATGTCTACGCATATCTAGGCCATGAGCGAAAGGCCCGGCTGCTCGTGACGGCACACATGGATACGGTGCCGCCTCACATCCCCTTCAGCATCGACGGCGATGTGATCCGCGGGCGCGGCGCCTGCGACGACCTGGGCCCCATGGTCGCGCAGATATTCGCAGTGGAAGAGCTGCGCGCCGAAGGGAAGCTGAAGCAGGGAGATGTGAGCTTCCTCTGGGTCGTCGGCGAGGAGAAGGGTGGTCCGGGAATGATTGCCGCGAATGACATGGGGCTCACATGGGAAGCGGGTCTCTTTGCCGAGCCTACGGAAGGAAAGGTGGCGAAGGGACACAAGGGTAATCTTGTGTTTGAAGTGATCGCTCACGGGAAAGCCTGGTAAGCGTTTCCAAGCATCGTTGACTAATTGCATTGCACGCACTCGAAAGCGAGAGGATACTGATTGACCTGACCATCTGTGCAAAAAGCCACTCCGGATACCCACACCTGGGCAAAAGCGCGACGCTGCTTCTCTTTGACGCAATGAATGACCTCAGAGCAGTCGAATGGCCAGTTTCCGACCTCTTGGGACCGTCGACGCTAAACATCGGCAAGATCGAGGGCGGAGCCGGCTATAACATCCTGGCGGCGGAAGCCAAGGCGCTCTGCAGTATCCGCGTCTCGAAGGATGTAGAGGGAATCAAGAAGGCGGTGAAGGAGGTGATAGACAAGCATCCCGACGTTGACGTCGATTTCAAGTTCCAGTACTCCGAGATGGTGTTACAGTGGGAGTTTGAAGGCTTCGAAGCGGAGCCGATGGCGTACGGTACGGATATACCTAGGTTGCGAGGCGACCATAAAAAGGTCCTGTATGGTCCGGGTTCGATCCGGGTGGCGCATGGGACAGATGAGTACATCCGCGTCAGCGAAATTATGGAGGCGATTGGGAAAAACAAGAAACTCATTCTGGAATTGCTGAAATAGGATGTTCAAAAAAAGCAATGATAATGAGATCACGTGTACAGAATCATGACATGATATCTTCGATTTGACCAAAATCATATTGATTGCTACACTTCTAGATACAAGATTCTAATTAAGCAAGGCTCTTCACAAGCACGTTGATATGGCGGGAAAATAATCATTCATAAATAGATAGCTGTGTGAGGCGGGAATAGAGGAAAGAGAGAGAGGGTGAATAACGAAGATGAAAAAGTATGGGGTAATAATATCGAAAAAGAAACAACTCCGAATCGGGGAATCGAACCCCGGGCTTGACGGCACTTCTCTACATCTGGTGATGCAAATGAGAGCGTCAAATGTTGGCCACTACACCAATTCGGATGGTGGGTAATTATGTATGTAGCATGTACTATATTCGACGGTGGCCGGTATTTGTAATTGTGGGGATATCCACGGGCGTGGGATAGGTGTCAGTAACACTGAGGGAGAAGCACCTGGATAGTACTAAACTGCGTCTACTAACCCTACTATAATCCCCTTTTTAAAAAGACTATGATATAACTAGAATGAAAGCGGTATGTAAGATAAGTAGGCTAGCTGAGATAAAATGCTCGGTTTGCTGACATCCTCTGTTGACATCACTACAGACCGCTGTTGACCAGATTCTGGGACAAACCACGCTATTGCAGTTCTACGACCGAGCACCAATGTGTAAATGGGTCCGGCACCGGAGCTAGTTATGATCTGGTATTATCCAATAGGAAACTGGGTATTTCATGTGCCAATCGAGGTGGGCAGGGTCCAGGTACCAGTCGAGCAGTCTCCATGCAGCACCCACGCTACTGTACGCTATAGATAAGTTCACATGCCCTTCACATATCCTAAATGGGAAATTAGAAACTACAGTGAACTTCGAGCGACCTCTAGTCTAGGGCATCGCTGTGAACCCATCATAAACAAAGAACTAGTATACCTAAGCAGATCCTGAGGCTAACATCAGCTTTTCCGAAGAACGAGCAGAAGTAAACGCACCTAGGCAACCAACAACCCGGCGCATTAGTAGCTGCATGTATTAATACCGACCTGGTTTTGGGTTCCAAACTTTTTCTCTCTTCCTATTTATATCCCTGATTAAGACATACAACAGTTTTCCTACCTCTAGATCTCACGATATTCACGATTGACACTAGAAGTTGCCAAACTCCAGACAGATTTTCGTTAGAGCCACCAATACACCAAATTTAAAAAAAAAAAAAAAAAAAAAAAAAAAAAAAACAAGATGTCATCAGGCGCTGGCAATGGTGACAGCAACGGCTTCGTTGGTCAGTTATCTCGATCTCCTCTTCCCCATGCGTCGCAAACATTAACCTGTGCGTTTTCAGATCCCGGCATCGTGGTGACGCCCCAGATCTCCGAGCCATGGGCGGTAGAGAAGGTGCTAGCCACCATGTCTCCGGCACCGCCCGCCGAGGGCACCGACTCGCCTGTTCCATACTTCCACGTCCTCGAGAGACTAAAGACCAACAAGCGCGAGGGATGGAGGCGCTTCAATATTGAGAGGTACCATACCCCAACATGCCCAATCGCCGATATCTTTAAGCTGATAGCAACGCACGCAGAGGCGAATCGATATCCGACCACATGTACCGCATGTCCCTCATGACGATGCTCTGCCCGCCCACGCTCGCACCGAAGCTCGACCTCTTCAAGTGCATGAAGATGTGCCTGATCCACGACATGGCTGAGTCCATCGTCGGCGACATCACCCCGGTCGACGGTGTATCGAAACCGGAGAAGAGCCGTCGCGAGGCCGAGACGATGGACTACATATCGAAGAACCTGCTCGGAAATGTCTACGGCGGCCTAGCAGGCGCAGAAATCCGGGCGGTCTGGCAGGAATACGAGGATTCGAAGACGCTGGACAGCCATTTCGTACACGATCTCGACAAGATGGAACTCCTGACACAGATGGTGGAGTACGAGAAGCGCACCAACAAAGCCCTCGACCTCGGCGAGTTCGCCTACGTGGCTACAAGAATCGTGCTTCCCGAGATAAAGAAATGGGCAGAGGAGGTGCTGAAGGAACGCGACGAGTTCTGGGGCACCCAGGCGCATGTTCAGGGCGAGGTGGGCGTCGACGGTGGTGTTAGGGTGGATAAGCGTAAGAAGCAGGAAGCTTACTACGACAAGGACAACGATGTGGCTCCTTAAAGAACCCTACATCCAAGAGAGACAAGTACGGCATCTTCGGCTTTGGCTTAAGCCATAGGCCATGTCTCATTCACACAGGGAACACGCAAGTGCAAGACATTTGGCGGGGTTTCCCCGTTCTCTTTATGGTACAAAGAGGGAAGCAGATACAGTTCATCATTAGAGGCAACGGGGCACCTAGAGATAGACCGATACCCAAAATACTGAAGCAAGTTCATTCGAGGTTATGCTATGCTCCCCCGAAGCGCGTTATCGTTGCGGGAGAGTTGCCAAATGTTGATACCACCAGTGCATCTATACGAGGCGAAAGTACCTACTGCAGACGATAGAACTGAAGTGAATGCCCCGCGATGCCCCGCCATATGGGGGCTTTATCAAGTTAGGTACCCATATCAGCAACCCTAGCACCTACCCCAGCTCGGTTCTAGGCCATCGACCACCCTGGATAGGGACTGTTTACTTAATTAAATGCATGCTGGCCCAGCAACGCGACCACAACAATCAAAGCACCTTTCTCGAGTCGAGCGCAAGACCAGAGCAGCCCATCTCCCGGATGTAGAGGCAGCACACTCAAACTGCACAATCCACGGGTTTTTGCCTGTGTGTGGCTTGAAGTTGTGCAGAACCTGAAATACCTCTCGCCGTCAAATACGCTTTCCGAGCACTCATCTATCCATACGTCACACCGGCTACTGGCATTAGCCCTATTCCAGCACCAGCACCAGCTCCAGCTCCATCCAACCTTGGGTCATGTGTCTTCTTTGTAAGGGTGTCAACGTCGGCAAGCAGGAATCAACACTGTCTGGCCTTGGTCATCCTCGTTAAGCACCCCCTCACCTATTCCTCCCCTCTACGCGACTAGCATACCTACATGGTCTGTTGAAGCGTATGGGCTGCCGGGCCTCGAATAGAATTACGCAGCAGCAGTTCAACGCGAATATCGATCGCATCAGCTATCAGCACTATACAACCTCAATATTGTTGTGAAGCATCGACTCACGCGCTCCCCAGCCGTCATCGATGTGCCGCGCAACAAGCATTCACTACAAACCGATCATCTCCAACCATACCAAAAAAACCCAAAGCAACATAGCGACACGAGATCGACGGCAATCCACACATTCCGATATTCTTATTGAGCGAGTTAGCGAACAACTTTTCGAAGCATCCAGGTTTTGTTTAATGTACATATTGACTAAATAAGCCATCACGACATCGAAGCCGCTCGTTAACGTTTCCACGACTGCCTTTCCGTCAGCCTAGCGTTCGCCGCCCCTGTCAACCGAATACAACATTCTTCATATCCATCCAAACACCTCACTAAAAATGTCATATAATTCTCAGATCCTCATGTCCGGCACCTTTCATCTCGATCTACCGAACGGTGGTGGTGGTAGAGGTGCACCCTTTCCAGGCGTGCACCCGGGGCTCTTTCGGCCCCCAGCATCCCCGTCTGTGTCGAGCTCGGTGTATCTCGGGAGGTCGACGGCAAGCTTGCAATCAGAGGTACCCACGCCCATCTCAAACGCTAAGAGGAAGCGAATAGGTGAAAGGGAATCCACGCCCATCAGCGATTGGGCAATGACGGGAGACGGAAACTTCAACGCAGATCATATCAATGACGGTCGCTCTTACTTTGACCTTCACACAAACGGAAAAGAGAAGCGATATGTGCTGGCTGGCCAGATAGAAACTCCTAGCGGAGCCATCCAGAAAGAGCTTGGGCATATGGAAGATAGTGTTTACTCTGATGTCGACTACAGGCGTGCCCTCGGATCTAAACGATCGCGCGATGACGTCGACTCGCCGGCGTCGAGGCCCATGATGGTCGACTTTGACAATCAGATCCCCACTGGCTGGAGCTCTTATGCAATCAGTACGATCGGTGGTGTCGTTGGCAGGGTCTGGGAATTTTGCAAGACCGGCGCGTTTCGTGGTTTCCACGCTGGAGGTGGTAGGGGATACGGGGCGTCCGAGGAAACACGACAACAATCAGCCAATAGTCAAGTGGGACGGGATCCCAACCCTCTATTAGCATGCGTCCCTCAGACTGACGATTCCCCATTCCACTACGAACCTAACACACCCGAGTCGACACCGCCACCGGCACCAAAGCGAAGACAGATATCATACGGGACTCCTACTGATGAGCTGCGGAAGAACTGGGTCATGATTGATGAGCCAGCTAACGTGAGCCGACAGTCTTCTCTAGCATCGCGAGCGCCATCACGCCGTTCGGTGCAACGAACGCCAGCACCATCGCTCGTTCGCCGCATCAGCAAGCCCGTTAGCCGTCTCAATGCACCGACTTACAACCGTCATCCTCCAACTCCTACCCGACCCACCCGACCTAGCCCGGCTCCCATCTCGACCCGCGAGCCGGCGAGTTTTGCATCCACCAGATTCCCAGGTCCATCACCTGTTATGATGGCACAGACCCCCAGCAGAATCCCCGTTCCCTCCCGACCACAATCCCCCAGTCCCTTTGCACAAAGTCATCTCACACAGCAGCCGTCTCGAGTACAGAGTCCTAACCCCTACGCGAAACGCGGCCACCGGCGGAGCCAGAGCGCCGTGTCGGCCTCGTCAATCTCACCGATGAAGGTGACGAAGCGAGAGTCCATACACGAGAAGCATGACAACAGCCCGCGACTGGATGCCAAGGCTAGAAGCCTGGCAGCAAAGCTCATGAAGGATGAAAAGGAAACAGACACACGGATTAATGATTTTAACTCCCGTCTACGAGACATGATTCGCCAGGGTAAGGAAGCCCTAGGCACGACGTACGAAGTGGAGGGAGACGCCGAGGGCGGCCGTGGAGGAGACCCGTGGGAGAGCGAGTAATGGCAAGTTAGTCGTTGCTAAAGTGCTTGCACCGGGACAGCTCGCTAACAACGACGTCTCATCTGGACCACTTTCCCTCTTGGCGCAACTGACGTTCGTTCACAGCTGATACCCTATGAAGTTGGGTTTCACTGCCGACGTCCTGGACTTTCGCACCTCACGTCCCTCTTGAAGATGAACAAAAACGGCTACTCTGTATATACGTGTGATGACCTTATGATTCGATGGCTCATGGTTTGCAGCCTCTGCTGCTGCTTCTGTATGATACGACACACTTGTATTCGTCTCGCTCGTTTTATGTATATCAACCAAATTGATGATGAGCC